TGCGGAAAGGAGGGAAAGGTTCACACTGGATTACTGCACAGATCTGAAGTAATGCACACAGCACACCGAGATTCAAGTAACAATACACATGGCTCTTGTATTTAGTCAACATTTGCTTATCCTGGAGTAAAGTTTTGATTACCTACATGGAAATGGTTATAATTTTTAGCTCCAGCCTTTCTGTGAACACATCTAGTGTGATCATATTATCCATACACAAACTGCAACACAGCTGCATGAGAATCACCAAGATTGCATAAATCAAATCCATATACAAGTAACTTTCCTCCACGTTATTTTTGAGAAGATAAAACATATGTTACTTTAGTAGCGGTAAAATAGAAAACCTATTAACCGCATTCACAATGCAACATAAGCCAGTGTGTACTGTAACCTATAGTGCCATATGTAGCTTTCTGAGAAAGTGAAAAACATTCTGTGCAGTGTCGCTGGGTTCACACCTGGGCGTTCCAAATAGGTTCCCTTTTATGCTTGTTTTTTTGTTCACTGAAACACGTGTTCGACGCTCGTTTTTTAACCTCCCTGGCAGTATGATATATTTTTTTTTTTATTTCCTTTTTTTCTATCTTTTTTTTTTTTAAAGCTCCTGTACTATTTCGGGCGTAGGGCGTTTTTCAGCGCAACAAATCGCGCTGAAATACGCCCAGGTGGGAACCATGCCCATAGGGATTCATAGGATTTCACTGCTTGAGCGTTTTTCAGCGCTGAAAAACGCCCAGGTGTGAACCCAGCCTAAGTGGCTCAGTCCAGCCAAAACGAATATTTCAGTTGATGGTAAAATGTTTCCTGGGGATCTTGGCCAGGAAGATTTGTAATACAGCCTTTAGGGTGATCCAACTCCTCCTACTCGATATTTAATTGCATTTTGGAAAATGCGACGGGGGGGAAGGGGTGCCACAATAGCAAAAACTTAAAAAGTCAGCTGAAACTATGGCAGGAAGATCTCTGTGTGGAGTCTACAAAAGAGATTAAGAAGACACCCAGTAATGTATCCCATCAGATCATACTTAGAAGTAACATGTCCCTTTTTGGTGGAATAATATAAAAGATAAGTGCATCTTTAAATCAGCCATCCAAATTCCAACTTAGCATTTTTAAACAGATTACAAAATAGGTTCCCTCAACTCTATGCTTACCACACCTTACCACAATGCAAAGCCCTTCGTGCGGTGCCACAATGCACAGGTACAGTAGGTGCCAATAGACCCAGGCTGCAACCAACCGCAAAGCATGACATGCACTGTGCTATAGGAGAACTATGGGGTTAAGGCTTTTCCCCATAGTTCTCCTTAGGGTAACGGGAGGACACAAACTAGTTTCCTCCCGTTACCCTAAGCTCAGTATACCGCGTCCGTTACGCCAGTCAGCGCTGGCGGATCGGGGAGGGGGGAATCCAGCTCCTCCCCTGTCACGGAAGAGAGCCGTGACAGGATCGAGAGGTGAGCGAACGCCGGTATATGTTCGCTCACCTCCCGATCTACTGAGCCGACCTGTGACAGTCTCATTGTCACAGGTCGGCTAGAACTATGAGGTGAGTGAAAAGCACTCACCTCATAGTTCTCCTTTAAAAACAAAAATGCTGCAAGTCTGCTTATTTGGTTCGTTGCCGTGCATTAGCAGCCTATTCACAATAAATTAGTTGTTTTAAAGAAGAACTCCAGGAAATGTTAGAAACTTACCCTTGCAGTAGGGTTATTGGACATGCATTAGAAGAGATGAAGTCAGCAGTTTTTAGGGCTTGCTCACACCATATGCACATCATGTCCAGACCAGAACAGTTTCCAGACCAAAAAAGCATCTGAATGTATCTATCCCTATGGTATTTCTGGGGCTCTGTTCACAACAGCACATTCCATTCAGGTCCAGACCAAAAAAATACAGCTCATCTGATTTTCTCTGGCCTGTAATGCATGGAAACGCATCACAAATGCATATAAACGCATGCAAACACTGCACATGCAAGCCAATTTTATGCTAAAGAAAAGCAAAAATCACGGTAAAAACGTGGCAAAAATGCACTGCAGTGCGTTTCCAGATGTGGTCCGGACATGGTGTGAATATAGCCTTAGAACGCCACAGCCCAGGGGAGAAGAGACTGCAGGGGTCTAGCAGCAAGTCAGGCCTGAGGATCCGGTGAGTATACTTGCTTTATTTGACTCCCCTATGGAAAATAAGCACCTAACCCTTGCAGTGAGGGTGCCCAACTACAAAAGGACCCATTTTTAAAATTCCTGGAATTCTTCTTTAAATGCACCGCATCAGGGATACACCGATAACTGTTTTTCTGTATCGAGTACTGCTATTTTTTTTTCTCAATACTCGCCGATATTGCATATGGATACCAGAAGTCCTATTAAGGAAGCCAGGCGGCATGTAATGACTCGCCACCTGGCTTCCAGATTACCCGGGAAGCATGTAAAGACTTGCCACCCGGCTTCCCGATTAGCAGGGAAGCAGTCTCCATTCTCCCTCGTCACCGAGTGACGAGGGAGCATGGAGCCGTCTTCCCAGCCAATCAGGAAGCCGGGCTGCGTGTAAAGACTCGCTGCCCGGCCTCCAGATACCACAAGCTTGGGTTTTGGGCTAGGCATCGGAGCATTTGCCAATGAACTAGGCATCGGAGCATTTTCCAATAAACCAAATGTTGAACGCATAGACAGACTATTTGCTCATTCTACTGAAATTCTAGTGTCATAACTATAGTTTAGTTAAGGCCCTGTCCACACCATAGTGTTTTGTCATGCGTATCTATGCAAGAAAATAAAAAACGCATGTATTTCTATAGCCCTTGTTCACACCTGAGCACAGTGTCGCGCGTAGAAAAACACCTGTCGCTGTGAGAATTTGCACGTTTGCCATTTACATTAATGTGAGGGCTAAGTGTGAATGCAGCCTAAAAAGGCCAAAACAATTTGATGGGGGGGGAAAAAAATAATAATAATTCTGTGATTTGTGCAACAAGCTAGGTCCAGGGCAGCAAAACTAAACGTATGCAGCAAAACACTGCCTTGGTAATCGCATGTAGAACGCGACGGCTTGGCTGCTTCAATCACTGCCTAATCCCTCAGGTGTTTTAACTTTGACATTCCATTGGAGTTGGTACTGATTAACAGAGCTGAGCTGCTGGATGGATGTCTGGAAGCCGAGGACTGCTATCAATAAACACTGTTTTAGATCGGTAGAAACCATTTAAATGAAGAATATATGGTTGTATCATCACCAAGGTGAACGTCACATATTCCCAGTATAAAACATGCTTTCCCTTTTATAATAACAAAGAGCTGACTTTGAAATATTATCATAACATAGTGGCTGGGTAAGATAGTCTGATATAGAGATCTACAACTACGTCCCAATGAGATAATTGGCCAGAATAAATTAGGCAGAGCACCCAGTGAGGTGGAGTCTGCTCTAATTCAAGGTCCTATGGCAATTTCATTTACTATGGATACCAATACAGGTATGGAAAACATTCAGGCCTGGCCTTCCCTGCGGCAAAGCAAACCCTCAACACCGGCCAACATTCTAACAAGATTGTTCCAACTGATCTGCATACATTGTAATAAAACAATCCTGTGTACAGAACAGAAGAAAAGTTGCTGTCATCCACAGTGAAACATTGTTGCAGCAAAATATTTATGATGATGGTAACAGATTTCCAGCACAAACACTTATTTCCGGTTTTCACTTTTGTGATGATACTACACACCAGGAGTCCTCAAACATTCTAAAGAAAGGTCCATCAGGAGTAGAAAATGTCCCAGTGTCAGTAAAATGTGGCCTAGTGCCTTTAATTAGCGGGAGGAAAAAGAATGTTGGGGGGAGGCGAGACGTGCCCAAATAATTGGCATCAGATGGGGGTGTGTGGAAAGAGTGCCCCAATCATTAGGGTCAGGGGGGAAAGCGTGCCCCAAATCACAGGAGTCAGTGGGGTAGGGGGAAAGCGTGCCCCAAATCGCAGGAGTCAGTGGGGTAGGGGGAAAGCGTGCCCCAATCATTGGTGTCGGAGGGGGGGGGAAGGGGCTAAAGAGTGCCCCAATCATCGGTTTCCAGGGGGGTGGGGGGTGTAAAGAGTGCCCCAGTCATCAGTGTTGTTGAGGGTGGAAAGGGTGCCCCAATCATTGGTGTCGGGGAGGGGGGCAAAGTGTGCCCCAATCATTGGTGTGTGTGTTTGGGGGAGAGCACCCCACCGGCTGCTTCAGCCTGGGGGAAAAGCACCCCACCGGCTGCATCAGCCTGGGGGGGTTGAATAGTACCCCATCACTGGTATGGGGGTAGAATAGTGCCAAGGGGCAGCATGCAGCTCATGGGTCACCATCTTGGGACCACTGTTATACACCACAGACACCATCATATTGTTACAATGCTGTGAACCTAATTGCTAGATGAACCAACCAGAGCAGTCTGGATGCTGCAATATCCGCACACACACACAAGTGTAACATTGCTGACACTATGCTGCTGGAGCAACCTCCAACCCAGTGACTCATTTCCCATCCTGGAGGACCACGGCGCTCTACAATCCCATCCTGAGATTTTCACAAAGGATAAAATATGGTTTTAATTTATTTTTTTTTCTGGCAGCTCACAAGAGAACAGGACACAGTATGAACACATCCACAAAATGATTAGTCACTTTCCAGGAAGGGGATGGACCATTTATAAAAGCTGGGACAAAAGTAAGATGAAGTGAAGCTGTTGCCCACAGCAACCACTATTTCAAATGAAGCTTGCGGTGGCCAAGCACAACTGGCTTCCTGCTCTCCTGTGAACAGTGGTTGCTATGTGCAACATCTTCGAGTGAGGCGGTAAGCCTTCGCAGGACGGATGGCGTTGCTGGGAGAAGTTGGTGAAGTTACATAGCGGATCGCATTGTGCAGCCCTGCAATCATCCCACGATGAGTCACGGATGTGCTCCGGGATAACGCTTTGTGCTGCAATGGATCCAGCCCGCATTGTTCGGGAAAAGATCGCCTTACCTTGCAGCATAGTCTCCAGCTTCTTCCGATCCACCCGGAATCTCTCCTCTCCCCACTCCGGATCGTGGGGGGCGGCCGGGCCGGGAGAGTCGTCCTCAGAGCCGGGTAAAGGGGAGTCGGTGCTCCGCTCGCTGTTGGAGCCCGGGTCCGACTGGTTCATGTATCCGCTCATTGGGTCGCCCTGGGCTGCCATGGTGGTGATAGAGGAGGAGTGCGCCGCGCTCAGCTCTTCCAGATCATATACGGGGAGAGCGCCCGGGAACCGCTAGCTGGGACGGCACGACTGACATACAGCGCTAATGCTGGACCAGACTGCGAGCACGGAGTGAGCTCCCTCTCTGGCTGCTGCCTGACACACACACACAGCCCGCACTACTAAAGCACTTCCACCGGGAGCACTGCTGACGTCACCGCATCGCCCGCACTACTACAGCAATGCTGACGTCACCGCACAGACCGCACTACACTGCTGCCTGCACTTAGGTGTGTGCTAGTGGCATTGGGATTAAACTTCTACATGAACTAAAGTAAAACTCTTATATGTCAAGGCAAACTATTAGAAAAAAAATTAATATGCAGTAATCTCTGAAATACAAACATGTTTCCTCATGTTTTATTCCTTTAGGGCCCGTTCCCGCCTAAGCGTATCGTACAACACACCTAGCATGCACTACTTTTTTCCAGCGTGCAGCATTGCACTGGGAGGTGCGTTGATGTGCCATTCAAATGAATGGCAATGTACCTAGCTCACGATAACACACGCTAAGTACAGTATCATGCAATTAGCACTACGCATTGGTGTGAATGGGCCCGTAAAACAGACCTTCGCCCTCATTAGCCACTTTCCTCGGCTGGATAAACCATTAGGCCTTATTCACACAGCGTAGAGTGGGGCCATACGGACAGGGTCGCATTTGCTCTCTTTGCTGCCCCAAGGCCAGGTTCCTTAATGTACCCCCCTACTCACCAACCCTCCCACCCAATGGAGAATGGCAGGCCTGCAGTCTGCATACAAGTGATCTCGGCGACATCACCGAGATCACTTGTACAAAACCAACGGCGGTTTCCCTGCTCTACATTTAGCCCTGCTTGCCCAAAGCAGGGCTAAATGTAGAAAACAACTACCCGCCCGGCACCCTGAACTGCATGTCTTGGGCATTGGTAGATAGGAATTCCACACCCCTGCTGCCCCTCCACTCCCTGCTGCCCCAAGGCCGGGCCTTGGTTGGTCTTGTGGGAAATCCAGCCCTGCGTACAGATCCATGCGGCGTGCACGGGTTGTATCGGGCCGTTTCCAGGAAGGACAGGTGCTGCGTGTGATTGCACGCAGCAGCCTGTTCTTCTCAATGGAAGAACGTGGCCATATGCCATCATATGCTCACCCGAGTTGCACATCCGTGCGGGTGTCTGTGCTCGGTCTCGTCTGCGTCCAAATGCGAACACACGCACCCGCACGGATGTGCAGCTCGGGTGAGCGTACGGCCGCGTCCTCCCACAGAGAAGAACAGGCTGCTGCGTATAATCACATGCAGCACCTGTCCTTCCCGGGAATGGCCCGCTAAGGCCGTGCACGCTGCATGGATCTGCACTCTACACTGTATGAACGAGGCCTTAAGCAAAATAAGCATATGCCTGGAGCACAAAGAAGGGGGTACCACAGAAAAAGCAAATTCCATCATGCATCTGTCTCTGGGAGTCATGTCTGTGGCTGTGAGAGTCTTGCAGTGCCTCATGGGATTTGTAGTTGTAGTTCCACAACAGCTGGATGACTGGAGTTTGACCATCCTTGCCTTATAAGGGTTAGGTCACCTTTAGGCACATTTCCAAAAAAATCCCCTGTGCATTCTGGCATCCCTAGCATATTACAAACAACTGTCCAGCTTTTAAAAAAGGTGCTCCTTTTGCATTCCATACCTGTAGGTTGTGCACGTCCTGTCAGCCAAAACTCCTTGCGCAGTGTGTTCTCTCTCCATCTATCACTGATGCTATAGAGTGAGATCATGTGCTGTGTTTGAACAGGGAGCCAAGGTAAGTTGTTTTTTTTGTTTTTTTTCCAGGCGATCTGTTTTTTTATGAATGGCTTTTTAAAGCCATTTGTATTGGGAAAGCAAGGGGGTCTGCAAATAAGAGGTCCTTTCGCCATTGGAAGATTTCCCCTTACCCCTTCTTCAGGACACAACTCTTTCTGGATTTCCCCTCACCCCTTCTTTGGGAACAACTCTTTCCCCTCACCCTTTCCTCGGGGGACAACTGTTATTTGATTTTCCCTCACCCCTTTCTCCGGGGACAACTCTTGTTCGGTTTCCCCTCACCTCTTCCTTGGGGACAACTGTTATTTGATTTTTCCCTCACCCCTTCCTCCGGGGACAATGTTTATTCGTTTTCCCCTCACCCCTTCCTTGGGGACAACTGTTATTTGATTTTCCCTCGCCCTTGCCTCAGGGGACATCTCTTATTCGTTTTCCCCTCACCCCTTCCTTGGGGACAACTCTTATTTGATGACTGACAGTCACTTTGGTGTCACCCCCTTCTGAAAAGTCGGGCACTCGGTCATGGACCAAGTGAGAGAGGAGCGGACATACCTTATCCCGCCGGGTGACTGTCCCCTCCTCACTCTGCTGGCATCCACCACCAAGATGACCACCGGCAGGTATCAATAAGATCACCATGCATGCGCAATGACATCATCACGAACGCACGTTGTGATGTCACGCGCATGAGCGATGACGTCACGGCGGGGTATCACCCGTTAATCGCTCCGGGTGGCACACGGGCTCGGGACGCCCCTACCTAGAAGCACAGTGAAGTCTATTCACAACAGCTGGAGGGCCAGAGTTGCCCACCCTTGCCTTAGCCTAAAATATTTAGACATTTCTGCTTACAGTTTGAAGTGCTTTTCACCTATTTAAAGATCCTACCTAGCTTCCCCACTATATAATGTTAAGGAGGGGGCTGTGGGAAGATATATTTACTCTAATTAACCCTGTCTGTTGTGTGCTGGGAGATGTTATTAATTGTATACTAGATCTAAACACTGTATATATATTCTAAAGAGTATCTAAGACACTTTATGAACTTCGGGGATTGTATACCAGGGTGCAGTGTGTCAGCCATTTTTCTACATCAATACATGTTGCTCTCTTACCCCTCGCGGTGCACCACTAACAGCACCAACATTTTTGCTGGAAGTATTTAGGAAACTCGTATTCTAGGTGGTAAATATAGCCTACAATTCTGTTCTTGGAAGCTTTGTTTGAAGTGAAATACCGTTTGCCTGCCTAGATTCAGTTGTGTATGAATCATTCCCGTATTCCTACATCTGCTTTCCAGATATGAGAAACGCTGAGAAAGTTCTGCCCATGTCTCCCTCCATGTATGGCTGAGGTGTTTGCTTCATTCATGCACTGCTAGGCCATGCGGAGTCAACGCTTGCCTGTCCAGTAGTTATTTGTTATCCAAATACAATAAGTCAGCACCAATAATTCACTCTTTACATACAGTTTGGGATACTTTTAGGAAGGCCCTTCATTGCCTGGTACTACATTAAACAAAATGTAAATGATAAATACATTTTAGATGCCACTGGTATGCAACTTGTAAAACAGATTCCATGTTGCAACATAAAAGATCTAATTTATGCCTATGTATGAATGACCATAAATAATGAAAAGTGATCAAACCTATTTAAATAATGTGTAAATTCAGGCAGGATTAAAAATTACGGAATGTTCCATTATACGTACAGCTGTTTATATTAAGTATGGAGCTAAACATTTTATGGTGCGTGGACCCAGATATAATGTTTTTGTAATTTATATTTCTAGCCTCTGCTGTAAGTAAAAGATCTGGTGGTGTTTTTGGTGGAATATGCTGGTTCTCAAAGATGGGAGATTAATGCAGTGGTTCCCGAAACAGGGCCTTCTATCTTAAAGGGAAATTCCAACTTTTGAAAACAAAAGTAATGAATGTACATCATAAAATAGAAAATTTGCAATTATTATTATGAGAGCCAGTAAAGCATTGCAACTATGATCAGTGTATTGTGGGTGCAATGCTCTGGATCCTGCAGACTCTTGCTACTGTCTATGTATCTTTTTTGCAAGATGAATGCTCTGGCCAATGAAGAGGAGGGCTTGTGGGGTATAGGTATCGCTCTGGCCAGCATCCCACCCAGCTCCTGGCAACCAGTGACATTACTGGTTGCCAGGACTCCAGCCAGAGCGTCCCAGGTTGCTGAGAGCTGGGTGGGGAGATGTGTATGTCCCCCCCCCCCCCCCCACATGACCCAAAGAGATGCTGCCTGAGACAACAGCTTCAGGCTGTCTCATTAAAGGCACTGGCCACACAGAGTTAAAACAAGTAAACAAGCCTGCAAGGAGAAGATCTAGGTAAGTGGGGGCAGGAGGGGCATGTAGTGTCAATACTTGAAGTCTCTGTCCTGAGAGATGCAGATAAGTTGATAAGATTTTAATCTGACTTTTTTTTATCTGCATACTTTTTCTAGGTCAGTGACCAGGACAGTATTGAAGCAGTGGGTCAGCATGACAGCCAGGCAACTAACTTTTCCAGTAGGAGGTCCTCCATGGAAATTCTCAGGTTTTGTTCAGGAAAGGTTTACATAAAGCTAATTCTAACAATTAACCTTCTCCACAACTGGACCATAAAGATCTAGTGAAGTCTCCCTTTTCCCTTTAAGTTATTCAATGCAATATGTTCTGATTTATGTTATGATTTATTTACACCATAGAATACCTTTGTATAGGTGTAAATGTGCTTCCTGTTCTCCCACACCAGTGCTGGCAAAGATGGGTTATGGCCATACTCCTCATCATGAGGGGATCAACAGACCTGACCAAGTGTCTGACCAGCTCTGTTAGATGAGAAGGTTCCTGACCAAGACTCTTAGGCTGGGTTCACACCTGAGCGTTTTTTATATGCTCGTTTTTTTCTTGCATTTTTTCGTTCAGTGAAACGCGCGTTTCACTGGCGGTATGATTTTTTTTTCCTTTATTTTCTCTATTTAAAAAAATTTTTGAAATTTTTTTTAGTTTCACTTTTAAACTTCCCGCCGGCTCCGACCGCCCCCCCGCGACGTGGTCGCTCGCAAGGGACGGAACCCCGGAAGTCGGCAGCCGCAGAAGACACAGCGGGGATCTCGAACAAGGTAAGACCTGTACGCTGTATTCCCGAGTGTGGCTCGGGGTTACCGCTTTGTTAACCCCGATCCACACTCGGGAATACCAATGGCAACTCGCGGCAAAACGCCCCAAAGAAGCTCCTGTACTTCTTTGGGCGTTTTGCAACACGTTCCTACGCGCTGTAAAACGCTCAGGTGGGAAC